ACAGACCCTGTCTATTTATCTAAAACGTACAACCATCTAGGAATTCTTCTTCAATCCAAACTTACCCATACAGAGAAAATTGCCAATGCGTGCAGGAAAGGTCGACAAGCTTATTTTGCCCTAAATACAAGAACACCTTAACCCAGTTACCATATCGCGGCTCTACACCAGAATTGTTCTCCCTTCCACTTTGTACGGATGTGAGCTTTGGTACAATTTACGTCAACGAGATCTTCAAACCCTTAACACCTTTCAAAACTTTATATGCAAACATGCCATTGGTCTGCCAAAAGACACTAGATCTGATATTTGTGAATCCTTACTTGGACTTCTCCCGATTTCATCTAAAATTGACAAAAGAAAACTCCAATTTTTCGGCTGCTTATGCGAACTGGACACCAAAACTCTCATCAAACAGATATTTCTCCACCGACTTTTTTCTTACATACAGTCTCCCGAACTTAAACAGATGGTTTTATCAATGATGTCATGGCTCTCTTGTTCAAGAATAACCTTCATCAACACCTGATAATATACTTACAATATGGTTACTTTCCTTCAAAGTACCTGTGGAAAAGTGTTTCAAAGCAGCTGTCACGAATTTACACCTAGAAGCAAGATGTCAACGGATGTTTTCAGACCCATCCTTTCTTCTTTTCAATACAATAAATGCAGGGAGACCGCCGCAAACTATCTGGGAAATTCCAAGCAACATCCATGAAATAGAAATCTGTAAATTTATTGCCAAACTATGGACTCTACCAGACTCTCCTCCAAAGCCTTGTCTTCTCTGCAATGAAAACTTCAGAAACATTTTTGAGCATATCTCTACAACCTATTTTGGCACAACCGCCTTCCGCGAGGCATGGTGGGACACAATAATTGAGGACTTTGACATTACACTAAGTGCCGAACTCTCCGGTCTCTGTCCAAGTGAGCTATATCTTTTCCTGCTAGGCGCTAGATCTTTCTCAAGCACTATATCTCATTTTGATGGGTCCAGTTTACATATTTTTAATTTTCGATTCCTCAGGGATACAGCAGCATGGTTTAGCAGACAACTACGTTGTATACGTTTACAGTCTGCCATATTTATTTCTGATGTTAAAAAGATCTGTTTTGTACATGTAAGTTTTGCGTCATTTGTACATCGCTCCTGTCAGCAACCTTGTTCTTAACTTTGTGCATCGCTTCCGTCAGCAACCTTGTTCTTACCTGTTGTAATTTAAAGTACATATCATGTTCTTCTGTTTTCTTATGACAATATGTAATTACATATATATATTTATTTATTTGTAATGTTCCTATAATTTGATGTATTCATATTCATGCAATCTCCTATTGGAGGAAATAAAGATAGAATGAATGAAAGCTTTCTTGACTTTGTTAAAATTATGATAATTTTTGCCTAATATTTGTCGCAATAAAAAATGCATAGAAACAATCCCACTACTTTATATATTCCGAATTAATAATGTCGATATGAAACCATTTGTTAGGCTTTAACGTCCATATTTTGATAATTCCTTGTCTGTTAACAAGGAATACCAGTTCAAGGGGCAAGATCAAAATTCAATTTCTGACCAAAAAAAACTAAATTCACGTTGTTTTTATCATCAATCCCCCCTTCCCCTCAATAATAAATATGATGAATTTCAAGAACTAATACTGTACTTATCACTGAATAATTTATATATTTCTTTTGTTTATTAAAAGAAAAAAAAAACATTTTAATTTACCAATTTGGCATGAAATCTCATGTACAATAAGTATTTTTTGCGTTATTATCAATGTGGCAGAAAAAAAACTTTTTGGGCTCTTTATTCTACGGAAGCCACAATAAAAAGGTGAAGGTCAGCAGGCTGAAATAAAGTGCATGTAGGAAATTCACATGCCTCACTTTGACAATAGTAAAAACAGTTGACAAGTTTGTGATCCTTTTTGGGTATAGAATTAAAGTTTAATATCTAAAGTTTACAATATGATACGCATTAATTAAGGTGTATTTCAAGCATTAATTATGTCTAGAAATGTGTATTGTATCGTGAGGTAGGATTTTTGATATTTTCACTCGTGCTTCGCACTCACGAAAATATAAAAAAAAATCCTGTCCACTCGAGAAATAAATTTCATATCAACTAAAAAACATTGACTATCCTCTATTTAACCCCCCTTCCCCCCCCCCTAAAAAAAAAATCATCAATCTCTTTTTGAAATAAAAATTATATGCTTGCAAAGTATACATAATAAATATTGTGATGAGGAAAATAATTAACGACATTGCTTCAATGTTGTATAAATAATATACATGTAGTATTAAGCCTTTTCGTTGATCGATCCTAAGTAAAAAGATTATAAAAGTGAACTGGCTTTGTAAACTCTGTAAACTTTTAATTTGTTTTGTAAACTCTGGTTTGATGTTTTGTCACCATGTGGTAAACATAGGATCCGCCAAATAGACGTGAATCTCAAATAGGTCTATGTGAATCTCCACAGCTTTGAACCCCCCACCCCACCGGCAAAAAATATAAACAATGAATCATGACAGAATGTTAGATAAAATGTCAATATCAGCAGATCAGATCTAACGTCTTATTACTTAGAAGGATGTAATATCATTTATGCTTCATCATTCCTCATCATCGTGGACAATCTGCAACCTTGGTCACAAAGTTCATTTTAAGGGGGTGGGGTTAAACCAAGTAAAATATTTGACAAGCAAAAAAAAAAAAAAGGAGATTTGATATTCCAACTACGAGTATTCGCCATTATTTCGGGAGATATTTACTCCGATAAAAAAAAATCTGGAGGAATTGGTACAAATATACTCTTGACCGCCACCTTCTCAAAAGTGTTGGTGGGGACATTAGCCCCCCTATTACTACGCCTATGATCCTATGATGTCTCAACATCCCCCTTCTTCAAAACATTTCTGAATCTCAAAAATAACATATGTATCACACTGTAATCGTATATATTATATGTTGCATAAACGCCTGCGATATGTTGCACTTATATTGTCTCTGATATTTAATTTTAGCGGTATAGAAATTGATATATGAAAGTGTATAAGTCATCCAAAACATGTCGAAATAGTGTCATTCATCAGAAATAGTTGTCATAAATAAATTGCCAAAGTTTAAAGCAGGTATATTTGGCAATTTTATTTTAAGAAAAATATTGCGTCCTCATACAACAATTTGAGGAGGCGTTCACGAATTAATGAGTAAATGTGTTCGCCTTAGAGTTGCTATACTTATCAAAATATGATTATTGACAGCGAGATAGTTCAAGATTTAATCATAAGAAAACCCCAGAGCAAATTAAATTTTCAACCATTTATCAATTATTCAAGTTAAATTTGACTGATAATTTCTAGCTAAAAATTCAATGGCAATACAAACTACAGGCATTTTTATTCCTATATTGCTATTAAATCTCGAAATAACGAGAAAACTATCTCGTTATAACGATATAACTAATTCGTTATAACGAGATAACTATCTCGTTATAACGAATTAATTATTTTTTCTTGTCAAAAATGAGTCTATCCGGCTTTCGTACAATAGAAACTCGAGTGGTAGTTATCGACAATCAAAAATGATACCACTGTTTCTTTTCACAGTTATAACATAGTACAAAACCTTGAAAATTTAAATGAACCTTGAGGTAGGGGTTTCTTTGTCCAGTGTTTATTGACCTAGAATAAATATTGAGGATGAACCTCCAAAACTAGGGATGATTATATCACCGTTTCCTCCAAACGATTTTACTTTACTATGGGTACCTTTCATAACAAACAAATACTACAGTAAACTGTATAGTTTACCATATTCAACTCTAGGATCAAATTTTTACTCAGGTAAATCAAAATATTTTTGTGCTATAGTTAATCACACACACACACACACACACCCTCTCTCTCTCTCACACACACACACACACACACACACAACGAAAACATGTTATTTCTTTTTGCAATATAGTTGATACCATTTTTCTTGTGTATATTTTCTTGCAAGTTATTTGGCATTCGATAAATCCATATCTGTTCTTGGAATGATTAATTTTAAATCAACTCCTTAAGCTTCTACTTGATTGTCTGCTGTTGCTAACTTTTTTTGAAATAAAAATTAGGATACTGTTTTTTTCCCCAGTTTTTCTACATACCTTGTTTGTTCTTGTTTCTGTATTATGTTCTTTTGTTGCAAAATTTTTGTAGGCTTGTTACTGGTGTTTTGATGGGAATTTTGACGGACAATTTCAGCAGAACTAGCTTTTTTTGTTGTTGATTTGCTTGAAATTGATTCTTTTGGTTTTGACTTATGTTGATTTTTTTTCATGAGAAAGAGAGGGGATGCGATAGAGTATGTTTCATTAATATACCTTTGTGAATTTTCTATATAAATATTAATAATAAACCTATTTTTTAAGCTAACCCGAGTTAAACGCTCAAGTGTGCTTTTCTGATCAGATTTTGTCTGACGTCCGTCTGTCTGTTTGTCTGTAAACTTTTCACATTTTCGACTTCCTCTCAAGAACCACTGCATGGGCCAATATCAAGTGAAAAAAAGGTGAAACTTTATTAACCTTTATTACATAGTGTAAATTCAGATTTGTTTAAATCATGATCCCCGAGGGAAGGGTGGGGCCACAAATAAAAGTTGTCTTCTCTGTAAGCACGGCTCTGACACAGACAGCTTTATTAGCCCCGATACAGGCAGCTACAGAATACTAGGGAATGTGTCCTATCGAACAGACAATTGCATATATCTCATCAGCTGAAAGGTTTGTTCCAAACAGTATGTTGATGAAACGGGAAATCTCCTCAAGAGAATTCAGATCACTAATGTGTGTGTTGTGTGTATGTGTGTGTGCGCATGTCTTTGTGCATGTGTATGTAAGGGTATGTGTGTCTCAGTGGGTGAGTGTGTTTTGAGGTTACACATGTATATACGTCTCCAAAATTATTTATATAGATTGTAATTTTTCTTTATCAGCATTAAAAGTATATGTGACGCCAGAAAAGACAACATTTTACTCGGAGTTCGGAGAAAATCCCACAGAAAACATAATATGTAAATCTAACTGCTCTGGAAGTAACTGCATATATCAATGGTATATTTATAATGCCAGCAGAAATCGGGAAAAATTCACGGATGGAAATATTTTATTCTTAAAAAGAGTTACTAAGAGAAACTCTACTTTTAAGTGCTACGTCTACGTAAAAGGTAATCAAACAAGGTTCTATGGATACAGCAAGGAAATTGAAGTCATTGTGAAAAGTAAGTAATTCTATATTCATCGTACTTTCATGTGCACTTTTCATGCAACAAGCAATCCTAAATCTTCCATGCACATAGCAAAGAGATTTCATTCTTTATCCAAAATACAAGTAATTCTCACTTTATACTAGCATGAAAAAGCTAATAATGAAAAAAGGCGGAGACAACGGACAGTTATCGATCTCAGAAAATCCACAAACAATACAAATCTGTGAACAGAGAACAGAACAGACCCTAGAAATTCTGGCTGCTCCCCCAGGCCTGTAGGAAGCAGTTTCACTTTGAGGGGGCACAAACACACATTTTCAGTTGGGAGGCACTATTAACTACCAAAATTCCTTGACAAGCAAAATAAAAAAAATAGTTTAAAAAAAAAAAGAAAAAAAAAGGTCATCAGACGTTATTATTGAGGGGGCACAAGCATGTAGTAGCTACGTTTTCTATAGTATTCTATATATTGGCAAAATTATTGGGGAGGCACTGCCCCCGTGCCCCCCCCCGTTCCTACGGCCATGTCCCCCTCCCCACTTTTAAAAACGATGCTACGTCCCTGACCGTCATAGCCCTGTCTAGTCCGAGTTTGGATCAGGAACCTAAGAGGAGTAAGTATCCCCACTTGACTGGTCACTCCTGGCGTGAGCGCTTATGTATTGCTCAGGTAGATGGGACATTCCGTAGTCAAAGGCATAACGTTGAATAACGTTGAAAAAATCGGTTCCCAAAAAATATCGTCCGGAAGGGGCAGCGTCAGGATTAATGGCGTCCGGATTACTGCGGCGCCAGTATAGATAGATAGATAGATAGATAGATAGATAGATAGATAGATATCCTTTTTTTCTCAGAGAAAGGTTTTCCTAATAAGTTTATCAATGCTAAAATCATATCTAAATATTTTGGCGGAAACTTAATGAGATATAAAAATATATAGTTCAAATCATTGAGTCTCAACTCAGAATTTTAGCTCAAAGGAAATAGTAGAATTAGTCAACCCAAATATCATTTGACTCGATATCTCAACACCTCTCTGGGCGCAGTGGTACTCGTTTAATTACGAATTTAAAATGTTTATTTTGTTTGTTTGTTTGTTGTTTAACGTCCCTCTCGAGTATTTTTCACTCATACGGAGACACCATCACTTGCCGTTGGAGAGCTGCAATTTTTAACCTATATACTCGTCACTCAAAGCCATTGAGCAGTGAGGGATCTTCTTCGTGCCAGCATCTACTTCGCGACCTCGGTTTATACGGTATCATCCGAAAGACCGGTCTCCACGTCCCACAGTGGGATTCGAACCAGCGACGTAAGGATTAACACCTTACTCCGCGACTCTAGAGCAGACGCTCTACCACTGCGCCACGCAGGCGACTTAAAATGTTTATCAGACAACCTTTAGAGATTTAATTTTTTTTAACTCTACCGGCGTAGTATTTTATCTATGGATCTGTGGTTTTTACAAAGAATGTGTGAGAAAATTCTTAAATTACACGATGGATAGGTCCCCTATACCATTTTGTGAATATTTGAATCGAGTTGTTCTTCAAAGGGGAAAAAAGCCAAAACCAGAAACAAAACAATACAAGAAAACACGTGCACTGCCATCAGAAGCCTTGACATACGTATGTCTCAACGACCCCAGTGTGTAATATTGGATTTGAAATTCAAAAACAGGGCAAATACCTAGAGTTTTGCAAATCAAATTTTTTTTTAGAAATTGGGCCAGTTTTTAGTTTCATGGCAACGGCAGCAATTTTGGATGTTTTAACCCCAGAACTTTGAGAGACACTTACACATCATTATTATGTAAAATATTAATCATTCTATTACATTGTAACATTTTCTAATTATTATTTTTTAAAATTTTTTTGGCCAGTTTGACCATATGCAAAGAACATGGTTTAAATGCTTTAAAAAAAATAGTTTTGCAGTTCCTGAGAAAAATGAGTTTTAAAATTCTCAATTTTCATACTTAATAGTATGTTTCACTGGAACGGGTCGCCATTTTGAAAATTTTAAATGTTGTATGCACAACTAGATCTTTGCATATAATTTTTGTGAAGTTTCACGAAGATTATCTACTGCGAGGGCACCTGTGGAAAAATTACAGAAGGGACACCTGTAATTATGTGTCGCCCCCTCTCCCTCATATCTAAGTACAGGCATATTTTATAAAAAGGGGAAATTGGTTCTGGCGGAAGTCGCATTCTATAACCATTACACAGAGTAGGTTTCCCCCGAAAAATTGAATCTGTTGTGGTATTTCCGTGGGGGATATCCTACTCTAGAGTCATCTTTCCTTGGGGGAGATCCTACTTTAGAGCCTACTTTCCGTGGGGAAATCCTGTTCTAAAGCCAGTTTCCAGCGGGGGGGGGGGGGGGGGGGAGAAAGCCTACTCTACAAAACCTGACCTATCCGCGTACTCATTGCACTATATATGACGTACGATTTACATCACCCAACTGATAAGGGTTAGTTTTGCACACACTAGACTGATTAGGGTTAGACTTGCACCCACCTGAGAGATAAGTGTTAGTTCTTGCACAAGTATTCGACTTATTAGGGTTAGTCTCGCACTTATCCGAGAGATTAGACCTAGTCTTCGCACAATATTTGACTTTCTTTGCAAGATCTTTCAGCTTTGCATGGTTTGTTTACAGAGAGAAATGGCTAAATACTAAAGGAAGGCACTAGGCATGCGCCGCATGCGTTTTTTTTTTTTTTTTTTTTTTTTTTTTTTTTTTCTTTTTTTTGACAACTTTTCTTGTCAATTTTTCACTGAATAAACAACAATATTTATTGAATGTTTTAGAGAACGAGGTTTAAAACTTCGTATGCAGACTTTTTAGCGTAGAATTGGATTTTGGGGTTATAAGTCCCAAACCTCATATATATATATTAGGAATGTCAACGAGTACCCGGTTAACCGGGTACTCGATAGAACGTCCGAGTATCAAATATTAAAATCGGTCCTCGGTTACTCGGATGTATATTTTTTTTTCATTTTTCAAGTACATATATTTATTAAACTCTTATCCAAAAATGTTATTTAAATATGCACTGTCCATGTCTATACAGTAATTAGCGACACCAGTTAATACCCGTTATCGCCTTTGGCTGTGTACATGTATAATTTTATACAGTAATCACCGTGACCAATCATTGGACACCATACAACTGTTCTCACCTCTTGTGACCCTAATTTTTGGATGGCTTTAATTATTTGTTTCCAATGAACATCGTTTAATTATGATCTATTAATTATCCTTAGATTATTTAATTAGCATACGGTAGCGAAATCGGACATACGTAGAAATACCTCTACCAATTCAAAGGTGCAGAAATATTTAAAAATAACCGGATTAAAAAAAATGTTAAAATTAAAATCAGCTGTGCATAGTAAATTTAGCGTATACGGGGGAAAACAACCATATATTTAACGAATCACTGTCTAGTTTGTTGATATGTCAGAGCATCAACGGCAGTTGGAAACTTGGGATAATTTAATTCATGACGGGTGAAGTTGTAAATACTAGCTATAATGTCATCTACAAAATTTAGAATTTTTCAATTTAGATTTGTATATGACAATCGAAAAATTCTAAATTTTGTAGCGGACACTAGTATCAAGAGTTATCACAAAGAAAACATTTGGAAATGTGAATAATATACGACTCGCGATCACGACAACGTCCATTCCCAAAGATATTCTCTCTCATTAGTCTAATCATTATGAAAATGCGTCCTTGTCTTCCGTTGATCAAATTGTCTTCCTAAACAAAAACTGTCAAGCATTAATTTTGTAGTTATTGGTGTATTAATTGATCATGTCTTTAGAATTTGTGTTTGTTTGATACATAAATTAAGTACCAAGATGGAGGTAAACATGTCACTAAAAAATCAACAAACTTTACATGTGCTTTTTCCGACTACCCGGGTACTCGATCGAAAATCGTCCGAGTAACCGATTTTCAAATATTGACCGATTTGACATCTCTAATATATATATATATATATATATATATATATATATATATATATATATATATATATATATATATATAATATATATAATATATATATATATATATATATATATATATATATATATATATATATATATATATATATATATATATATATACACACACCTGGAAACTTGTGGAAAAAAACGATTTAACATTTTCCCTTTTTATAAACTCAGATGTGCCAGTGATATCCAGAGACGGGAAAAAGAAAAACATTTTATTTGTATTCTTAAGCCAAAACTTAATAGTCTCTTATAAATTACCTATGATTTTCCCGAACTTTTTCATCATCATTGCAGTATTTTATCTATGACTTCACAATATAGACATTAAACGTTCCGCTTAGTTAAACGTCATAATCATTGTTACTATGTTACCGTTGTGTATACATTTTTGTAATGTAAAGCTTTTGAAGATTTTTAATGAAAGCGCTAAAGCTTTACGGAGGATTCTTGTGTTTTCTTTTTATATTTGTTTAATATTGTAAGTATACTGAGACTTTATTTCAATTTTGGATATATATATATATATATATATATAGTGAAATTGTAGTAAAAGTCCACGGTATAGGTAGGTTATAAATTAAAATTAAATCCAAGATAAACAAACAAGTTCACATTTAATTATTACACTAAGCGCTTTCGCCGTGAGGCTCTTCAGAGTGTAAGAAAGTTTATAAAAACAATACAACTTGGTTGTTATGACGTCGTTATTGTGACGTTGCATATACCCTAATACAAAATTATTATTCGTTATTGAGATGTTGCATATACCCTAATACAAAATATTATATAAACTATAGTTTTTACCGTAGAAAATCAAATTTTACTATTTATAGTAAATCAATGCATTTATGCTATGACATTCAAATGATTATAATTTATTTTCTCCAATTCTTACATTCGATTTTTTTTATATAAAAAGGAAGTATTATTTTTATTCACATATTTTTTCCATACTTTACTGCACTGAGATATAAAGGCGCTGCACACAGAAAAAAGTTCTAGAGTAAAGGTCCAAAGAAAATCAAACTACCAAAGTTTTACTACAGTAAACTATATTTAACTATAGTAAATTACAGTAAATTTTTACTGAATTGGGGTATATTCGCAATTTTCTGTAGGAAACAGGTCATCCGCTTCACCTACATACAGTGTCTCGAAGATTCAGTCGACCACCAACATGGTGTACTCTCATTCTACTACTGCAGGCAAATGTAAGTATTACTAGAACAAACAAAATAAAATGTTTTGGCGTATTACATTTTGAAGAAAAAATCAATTTTGCTTGTTTGTTTTTAGATTATAATGTTTCCACAAAATGAACTTTTATTTTCTTATTACTTTGGACTACGTTTTCGCAATGTGCCTTTGTTTACAAGTGGCGGTGAGGATGCAATCTCCAAAAACTGAAATCAACCCTATGGAAATTACCTATGGATTTAAAAATATGATGGGTATTCCTACAGATTATTAAATACTTTAAAAAGTAGTAACATTGTATATGTTAAAGTAATAAATTTGAGTTTGAAAATATTGATGTAAATTAATGGGTCTATTCACCTTGTACAATGAAATATATGGAGATAATGAACAGTATTCGAGCTCAAAAGTCCATTAAACATAACAAAATAGGAGCAGAGCAAACAGGGACCTTTAAGACATCAGAGGTTGGATCAGGGTGCCATGGATGAGTGAGCATCCCCTGCCGACCGGTCACACCCGCCGTGTGCTCCTTGTCATGATCGGGAAATAACGGAAAAATCCGTCGACGATTCAGTGTGTAAATAATGGCCTAACAATTTGTATGAAAAAGTCAGTCAGCATTTGACTTAATGATAGATTGTATTTGCTGACAAGGTCATTGTATCGACCATAGAACTTACGAAATGATGAATTTAAACGAGACTGCTGATATTCTTGTTTCATCAACATGTTTGTCAATAACTTACCTCGTTTTAGAAATTGTTTATATGTAGAGCATTCTCTAGCGTATCGAATCAAGTGAGAGATATAAACCCCGTATGCAGGTGATAAGGATATATTGCTGCATAAGTAAGGGAAGTTGACGATTGAAAAGTTAAAGTCATCAAGTTTATCATAAAGCTTTGTTGTTAGATTACCATTAACATCTTTTTCTAATGAAATATCTACATATGAAACAGATGTGTCAGACTATGTGGTATCTTTTATCTCAAGCTCAAGCGTAAGCTTCAAAATCTGAATGGATACAAAGGTGTGCAATATAAAAAAAACAGAAGTCTCTGATGAGACTGTAGCTCTACTGGTCTGTATGTATAACAAAGTAGCACTTGGATTTGAAACTTTGCAAAATGCAACAATAAATAGAATTGTGTATCTTAATGAAGTCTTCTTCTGTGCCAAGTTATATTGAGATCAAACGAAAACTGTAGGAGTAGATTTTGAAAGTATTTCACAGAAATTTCTATTTTTAGTAACCATGACAACACCATTTACTGAAATCAAAACCGAAATACATATTATGTAACGTAGTGTATTCTAATTGTGTTCCAAATTAGATTGAACTCAGACCAAAACTGTAGGAGGAGTAGTGTTATAAAGGAATTTCACAGAAATTTCTATTTTTAGTACCCTTGGCAACACCGTTCATTGGAATCAAAAACTGATGCAACAAATAATGTATCTTAGTATAGCCTTTTTGTATGCCAAGTTATATTGAAATCAGACCAAAACTGTAGGAGGAGTAGCGTTTTAAAGGAATTTCACAGAAATTTCTATTTTTAGTAACCATGGCAACACCGTTCATCGAAATCAAAAACCCATGCACTAAATTATGTATCTTCGTGTAGTCTACTTGTGTGCCAAGTTATATTGAAATCAGACCAAAACTGTAGGAGGAGTAGCGTTTTAAAGGAATATCACAGAAATTTCTATTTTTAGTAACCATGGCAACACCGTTCATCAAAATCAAAAACCCATGCACTAAATTATTTATCTTAATGTAGTCCACTTGTGTGCTAAGTTATATTGAAATCAGACCAAAACTGTAGGAGGAGTAGCGTTTTGAAAAATTGTTTACAGACAGACGGACGGACAGACAGACAGACAGACGGACGACGGACACCTTACCATCGCATAAGCTCTTCTGGTCTCTGACCAGTAGAGCTAAAAATCAAGCACAGCTAGCCCACGGACTACAGGCAGCAATAAATCACTATTCCCAAGTAAAATGTTACTAGCTCAAATGTAGGTAAAAAAGTAACAACTAAACACTGAAAGAACCTTTTGAATATGCCTTCAACTCGATATTTAGATATATCGACGACGTATTATACTTCGTCGATATATCTAAATGTCGAGTTGAAGGCCACAGCAAGTGTTTTCTTCTTTTCACGTAAAAGATTTTGAACGAATTCTGCCTCATATGAATACAAAAATAGGTCTGCTAATAACGGGGCGCAATTGGTACCCAGGAAATTCCAATAGAATGTTGGAAGACCTGGTCTCCAAAAACCACATAGATATTGTCAATCATAAACTCGAGCATCTTATTATTGTCAACTTCAGAGTATCGTGTGTACAATCAGATTGTTTTTAACAAAGTAATTTTGCAAATGTCGAATGACAAGGGAAGAAAATTAACGAGTTCCATTTTCATTAAAAAAGCAGCTGTCAACGATGTCAGAAAGTCTGGACTTCAATTTATCGTGGGGAATAGTTGTATACAAAGTTGAAAAGTCGTAAGTTTTTATGTTGTTGATTTTGCTAAAAATTTTGTGATTTCACTTCTCGAATATATTGTTGCACAGTACTCTTGAAGTTTCTCCTTCACTACTGTTAATATTTTAGTGAGGAGTAAAGAAAGAGGTGTGGTGGGACATTAACTAGAACCTGTATCTTTGTTTGTAAGGATTTTTATGAAGTTTCGATATGAATATGGTAATTCAGATTTATTTTGGTTGTTGGGAATATTAAAAATATTCAAAACTGAGATATGACTTTGAAAGAATTTCCTTCTTAAAAAGGTAGCTTTGGGTATAAGATGGATTGCCACTTGTAGAACTAAATCCCAGATCTTCTAAAATACAATTATAACAAGTATTCTGAGAGTATTGCATTAGCAATACTAGTCCCCTACCGACAAGTGTAATCTGGTTCCCGTTAAAAATTGAAAATGCCATAAATCAGTCAAAAATTAATGAAGCGTGACGAAATGCAAACTTGATCTATAACTCACCAAGGTAGAGTCACATTACAAAAATCAGATCAATATCTGCAAGCGTTTAGAAAAAAAAGTGCGGAAAACCAAGTGGGACAGAGGGACAGGACAGACGGACAGACAGACTCAAAGGAAACCTATAGTCCCCTCTTGTTTCACCGATAAGGGACTAATAATGAGCATTACAAACAAAGACAATGTTGTTACCTGCTTTGTCAGCTTGGACCAATACATACTGATCGTGTAGTCTAATTCTTTTTTCACTTCTAAATTATTGAACACAGAAGGATAGATGGTTTTCATATTGCCCCTCAATCGCTTAATGCGAGATTTTAACATACAACTGATACATTTAATCAATTCTGACAAAGTGTCAAGGTCTTCTTTTTCATATCTGGCCCATCGCCTGGCGTAATCCTCTACAGAATCCATGGGTTCCATATATTTAGGACCTTTTAAAATAAGTGATCTAAGGTCCTCATTATTAGTCCCCTACCGGTGAAACCGGAGGGGACTATAGGTTTCCTCCGAGTCTGTCTGTCCGTCTGTCTGTCCCACATGGTTTTCCGCACTTTTCTTCTAAACGCTTGCAGATATTGAGCTGATTTTTAGTATGTGAGTGTATCTTGATGAGTCACTTATCAGGTTTGCATTTCTTGCCGCATCAATGATTTTTGACGGAATTACGACCTTTTCAATTTTTCAGGGTTTTCCGCACTTTTCTAAACGCTTGCAGATATTGAGGTGATTTTTGGTATTTGATTTAACCTTGTTGAGTTATAGATCAAGTTTGCATTTCGTTCCGCTTCATTGATTTTTGAAATTATAGCATTTTCAATTTTTAACGGGAACCAGATTACACTTGCCTGTAAGGGACTAGTATTGCTAATGCAATACTCTCAGAATGCTTGTTAACTATATTTACGTCACCAGTAATGATGTGTCCAGCAGGACTATAGTTATAGGGTGAAGAAGAACATGAACACGATGGAGGATTATGTTTCAGATATTCGATATCCAGGCCCTGTAAAGTTTTCTTGTAATTAAAAAGTTTGGAAACAATAGTCGATGTATATTTGTAGGAAATACAAGGTGTAGTCTTCAACTTGAAATATGGTGGAATACAAGACTGTACCCTTTTAGAGTTGTTAAGCATTGCAAAACATTGACGAGTTCAGTCTCAGATTATCATTGCTAGGATCAAACACAAGAATTAGCACATATAGTTCCACCAGCAGACATTGAGGTAGAAAGAACAATATGTAATTTCATTTTCATTTTTAGGACCAATGATACAAACAAAATTCTTTAAAAAATCACGAAAATAGGTTCTAACACTAGTCGTTTATATAAGTAAAAGGTTTAGCTGCGTAGATGTTGATATTTTTTTCCAAGTTTCTAAATAATATCCAAGTGATAAAAAGTTGTATAGGCTTATATTCTAAGGCGAACAGGAAAAAAGGTATAATTTTGAATATCATAGACATTTACAATTTCTTAATATATATTAGAAATTTGATATTTGCATCATTTACAACCAAAATAAGTCCTTTGTGCTGTAGATGTACAATTTGGTATCAGAATTTAGATTTTTACCTTAGGGGGTGATCGAAGGGTCGGGAAAACTTTGTTCCTTAACTTCTCTTAATTTTTTTTTCAGTACTCCAATCAGCTTTTGGATGGTGATAGGTGATGTCATGTACACGTGCTATAAGCTTTCAGAATTTTGATTTTCACCCTGGAGACCAATTGGGGGTCTTTTTTTTTTTTTTACTAAACCTGGTTCTTTACACTGGTCTTACTTTTTTCATAGTATAATTACAGAATTATTATGGCTTCTTATCTTGTTATCCAAATCTGAAGGGTAGACAGATATGAACAGAAGGTGAGTACATTTAGCCCCTAAATATTCCCTAATACCCTAATATATATTTAGAGGCAAACACCTACATGCGGGTATAACTGTCTTATAACAACATATAGTTTTTGTTGTAATCGTTAATGATTTCCTATTTC